TCTGTACACACATGAGATAAGAAAGCTCCCATTCATTTTATTGATCATCATTACCTTTAAGACAACGCACACAATACCTTCATGACAATGCCCACCATTTACCTTCATGTCAAAGACCACCATTTACCTTTATGACAATGCCCACCATTTACCTTCATGTCAAAGTCCACCATTTACCTCCATGACAATGCCCACCATTTACATTCATGTCAAAGACCACCATTTACTTTTATGACAATGCCCACCATTTACCTTCATGTCAAAGTCCACCATTTACCTTCATGACAATGTCCACCATTTACCTTCATGTCAAAGTCCACCATTTACCTTCATGACAATGCCCACCATTTACCTTCATGTCAAAGTCCACCATTTACCTTCATGACAATGTCCACCATTTACCTTCATGTCAAAGTCCACCATTTACCTTCATGACAATGTCCACCATTTACCTTCACGTCAAAGTCCACCATTTACTTTATGACAATGCCCACCATTTACCTTCATGTCAAAGTCCACCATTTACCTTCATGACAATGTCCACCATTTACCTTCATGTCAAAGTCCACCATTTACCTTCATGACAATGTCCACCATTTCGTAGTGGTGTAAGAAGTTGCCTGTTATCAACAGCACCACCCGCCAGCTGTCCTGGATGGCATCATAAAACAACTGGTCTGCATACCCAGAGCCAAGGTCACGTTGATGAAGGAACGTGCTAACCCCGAGTTCCTCCTCCAGGAATCTGAATGACGTCATGTTCAAGCAATCAGCTAACCATGGAAAACCTACGTTGTTCTGATAGCGTTCTAAGGACTAGCCAATGTAAGATTGTTTCAACTTATCAGTTTGTATGTTTAAAAAACAAAACTTTACATTAAATGATAATAAAGATAAATACAAAAACAATTTAAAAATTCGAACTGCATTAAGATTATTGTATTCCTTAATTACCCAGATTAAGATAATTATTCGTCAAATTAACATAATGATTACGTCATTAGAGAATGACTTATATTACGGAACATATATCAAACATAACATTATTGACTCAATATTTGTCAAACAATATTTTATTCTGTTATTGACTGACATATCTAAACCAGTCTCACAAGTTTACTTCAGACCAGGCATGCCATGACTTAAATATATCCAATTGTCCATACCTGAATTTTGCGGGACTTAAATATTTGATACGAATCCATGCCTGACAATAGCATGACTTAAATAGTGAAAATCATCCCTACCTGACGACAGTATGACTTAAACAGTGAGACCTATCCATACCTGGCCATAGTATGACTTAAACTTAAACAGAGAGACCTAGCCATACCTGGCCATAGTATGACTTAAACAGTGAGACCTATCCATACCTGGCCATAGTATGACTTAACAGTGAGACCTAGCCATACCTGGCCATAGTATGACTTAAACAGTGAGACATATCCATACCTGGCCATAGTATGACTTAACAGTGAGACCTATCCATACCTGGCCACAGTAGACTTAAACTGTGAGACCTATCCATACCTGGCCATAGTATGACTTAAACAGTGAGACCTATCCATACCTGGCCATAGTATGACTTAAACAGTGAGACCTATCCATACCTGGCAACAACATTGATGGCAAATCTGTAGTCGTCATCGGCGTAGCCAATGAAAACACCAGTCTTGTAATCATCAGGTGTCATGGATCTGAAATGTGGAGCGACGAGTCTCAGAATGTAAGCCTGAATGGACTTCTTGAACCTTCCGATTAGGTAGACCAGAAGGAAGGCCAGGGTCAGAAGTGCCGCTAGGATCAACGACACCATCAATGAAAACCTGACGACAGATCAGTTTAAGACAGCTTATATTAGGACATTGACAACACTAAAGTACTCCTGACATATCACTATGTCATCAGTAACATAGAAGTGACATATCACTGTATCATAACTAACAGAAGGGACATAGCACTGTATCATCACTAACATAAGAATGACATATCACTGTGTCAGCACTAACATAGAAGTGGCAAATCCTTTATTTCATACTGTCTACTTTTTGATCAGTTCTGAAACCAAAGCATTGAATAACTGATACATTATCAGACTTTGTACATTGTATACGTCTGACTGACACAGAACTGTACTCGTTTCAGCAACACATAATTACGGACAACGATCAACTAGGACCAGGACATCTCACTGCAAGATAAGGGTAAATTGGTCCCCTATTTTTAAGACCTCTGTATAACTGGGCTTCAGATCACAGGGCATCAGATCACAGGGCATTAGATCACAAGGCATCAGATCACAGGGCATCAGTTTCGAAGGGCATCAGATCACAGGGCATCAGATTACAGAAAATCAGATTGCAGGGCATCAGATCACAGGGCATCAGATCACAGGGCATCAGATCACATGGCATCAGATGTACGGGCCTGAGATCCACAGGGCATCAGTATCTCTACCCTAATATCACAGGGCATCAGATTCAAAGAGCATCAGATCACATGGCATTAGATCACAGGGCATCAGATCACAGGGCATCAGATCACAGGGTATCAGATGTACGGGCCTGAGATCCACAGAGCATCAGTATCTCTACCCTTAGATCACAGGGCATCAGATTCACAGTGCATCAGATCACAGGGCATCAGATCACAGGGCATCAGATAACAGGGCATCATATCACAGGGCATCAGATTCACAGGGCATCAGATTCACAGGGCATCAGATTCACAGGACATCACATGTACGGGCCTGAGATCCACAGGGCATCATTATCTCTGCCCTTAGATCACAGGGCATCATATTGACAGGGCATCATATTGACAGGGCATCATATTGACAGGGTTCTGGTTATTTATTCGAATTGGGTGATGATTCAATTGGGTGGTTTAAATGTTGTATGTTTTCAAATCCAATGACAATCACTTTCGATCTTGCAGGTTTGACCTTCTACCCTCAAAGTTTATCCGGGTGATGTGAGAAATCCAAAGTTTTATGTTGCATAGATGCACTAACAACAAATGACTTTACTCCGCTGTCTCCAGGGCAAAAATGATCGGGGGGGGGGGGAAGGTATTATTTTCTCAAAGTTCACCGGTGAAAGGTTGACTCAAGGTTCATGGGTGAAACGTTGACTCAAGGTTCATGGGTGAAAGGTTGACTCAAGGTTCATGGGTGAAAGGTTGACTCAAGGTTCATCGGTGAAAGGTTGACTCAAGGTTCATGGGTGAAAGGTTGACTCAAGGTTCATGGGTGAAAGGTTGACTCAAGGTTCATGGGTGCAAGGTTGACTCAAGGTTCGTGGGTGAAAGGTTGACTCAAGGTTCATGGGTGAAAGGTTGACTCAAGGTTCATGGGTGAAAGGTAGACTCAAGGTTCATCGATGAAAGGTTGACTCAAGGTTCATGGGTGAAAGTTTGAGTCAAGGTTCATGGGTGAAAGGTTGACTCAAGGTTCACTAGTAAAAGGTTGTCTCAAGGTTCGAGGGTGAAATGTTGACTCAAGATTCATGGGTGAAAGGTTGACTCAAGGTTCACCGGTGAAAGGTTGACTCGAGGTTCATGGGTGAAAGGTTGACTCAAGGTTCATGGGTGAAAGGTTGACTCAATGTTCATGGGTGAAAGGTTGACTCAAGGTTCATGGGTGAAAGGTTGACTTAATGTTCATGGGTGAAATGTTGACTCAAGGTTAATGGGTGAAAGGTTGACTCAAGGTTCACCGGTGAAAGGTTAACTCAAGGTTCATGGGTGAAAGATTGACTCAAGGTTCATGGGTGAAAGGTTGACTCAAGTTTCATGGGTGAAAGGTTGACTCAAGATTCACCGGTGAAAGGTTGACTCAAGGTTCACCGGTGAAAGGTTGAAAACAAAATCCACGCAGTTAGGTGAGTGAACTGGGTTAGGAATGCGATAACACTAAGGGAAGTCACCCGGGCTATGCCACTGCGGGGCAAAACAGAGTGAAGGGAATGGTATTATGTTGCAAGGGTTTTCAAGGGCGTAGTTGCAGGGGAAGAAATTCTACAAAGACCAGCCTCAGATCGTCTCAGTTAGCGTGATAAGGGAGTGTGTGTGACTAGGGAGTGGGTGTGACAAGGGAGTTAGTTTGACAAGGGAGTGGGTGTGACAAGGGAGTTAGTTTGACAAGGGAGTGGGTGTGAAAAGAGAGTGGCTGTGACAAGCGGGTGGGTGTGGCGAGGGAGTGGGTGTGGCGAGGGAGTGGGTGTGGCGAGGGAGTGGGTGTGGCGAGGGAGTGGGTGTGGCGAGGGAGTGGGTGTGGCGAGGGAGTGGGTGTGGCGAGGGAGTGGGTGTGGCGAGGGAGTGGGTGTGGCGAGGGAGTGGGTGTGGCGAGGGAGTGGGTGTGGCGAGGGAGTGGGTGTGGCGAGGGAGTGAGAGTGATGAAAATGTCACAGAGATATTTTGTTGGGAAAGTCAAGTTTGTGGGTGTGGCCAGAAATATATCTATGTCTTGGAAGTCCATCGTGGTCGAATGTAATGTTTTAAATTGTATTTAGAATTATTATTTGATAATGAAATTTATTTATTTTTTGTTTGAGGAAAGAAGAAGGTAAGATTGTGTTTATTCTTTTAATAAGAAAGTAGGATTTTGTTTATTTAAGAATAGTTCTAAATTTACAACTCCAAATATCATCCTTTAAAAAATGTATTAAAAGTTTTTAAAGTAATATAAAGATTTGAAATAAATGGATGTGTAAGGGAGAGGAACAGAAATAGATAGAGAGAGAGCAAGACAACACACACACACACTCAGAGAGAGAGAGAGAGCAAGACAAAACACACACACACAGAGGGAGAGAGCAACACAAAACACACAGAGAGAGAGAGAGAGAGCAAGACAAAACACACAAACAGAGAGAGAGAGAGAGCAACACAAAACACACACACACACAGAGAGAGAGAGAGAGAGAGCAAGACAAAAAACACACACACACACACAGAGAGAGAATGTTAGAGAGGTAATGGGAGAGACTCTTTTGTTTCACCTACCAGCCCACACATTGTCGCCAGAGACCATATAAATCTTGAAAAGCATCTGTGCTTGTGACCTGTCCATCCTCGGACCTACAGGAGAGTGCCCCGTCATTCTTCAGAGTGACTTTAGTGAGCTGCAGCCACACTGTGATGCAGTAAAGTCATCAATAATAAATGTTCACTCTATCATAAATGTACTACGTCAGAGGTGGGAAAACCGTGATAAATGATACCAAGTGGGGTCACGTGAAGCTCTCAGGGTAATGAGGACTCAACACACATAAATAAATTGTTTTTAAAAAAATCCCTTGCCCTTTTTTTAATGGCATTATTGTTCTGGAAGAGAAAAATGTGAAGCGGGGAAAAATTTAAGTCAGGGAAAAATGTAAGGCATGGAAAAAAATAATGCAGTGAAAAGTGAACGACTAACCACAAAATTCGACTGTTTAAATAATATGAAAAGCTTATAAAATTCTTATCTTGTCGAATTGAACAAATGGATTAAATCTTATTGAATATATTTAAACATAAATAGATTTACATGTCATGGTTATATTAAATCTTTGGAGCATGGTTCAAGAAGTTAAATATACAATATTTTTGTTGGATGTACACCGTTCCCAAAAATAAAATAGAACGTGTTCAGACACAGTGCAAGATGTGGATATAAAAAATAATAACAAAATCATAAATCATAAACGCATTCCAAAATAAACCATTGTTTTTATATATATTTCGGACCGTGGTCATATTTGGCCACTTAAAAGCTGAATTCCATTTTTTTTTATACTCGTCTGTGCACGCCTATAGTATGAGAGGAATTACCATGAAAATATCAACTTTATTGGGCTTGTCATTCTTGAGATCCTGTGATCAGTCACTGCAGGAAATTTGCCTTTTATAAATAGATTCATGTGCTAAAACGTAATATGTACATAGTATTAAACGTAAAATGTCCATTTATCTTATCTTAATATATATGTATAGAGTGCTACACATGCCTTCACTTATAATCTTACCCAAAAACTTGATGTTCGAGCACATGCAGACAACAGCGTTCCCTTTCAACACCAAGGTGAACTCTCCGACCAAACCGACCTGATTCTCCATGGCAACCATCTCCTCGTCTTCTAAAAATAAAATGGCGTTCTCACTAATGTTGAGATGCTTTAACCGCGGCGTGTTTCTGAAGCTGAACGGAATATTCTGGAAGCGGTTCTTGGCCAGGTTCAGGTATTCCAGCTTCGCATTCGCGGAGAAGGTTTCCGGTGGAAGAGTATCGATACCATTATCCGAGACGTCCAGGTAGGTGAGCTTGGTCAGGTTCCGAAGTATTCGATCCACTGGAGTAACCGAGATGATATATTTCTTCGGAAAGATGCTGCTGATAATAAGAACTTCTAAACTCGGGAAGTCGTCATAGAAAAACTCTGGGACGTACATCATTGAGCCGGTGACGTCAAGAAACCTCAGATTTTCTAGACCCAGAATTCTGGCTCTGGTCCAGAGAAAGTGCGGGCTGTTGACAGCTAAGATCTCGGTAAGGTTTCCTAACCCCATAAGACGGACGTTCATGTAAAGCACCAAGTATTCTTTGCCTAGGACGGAATCGAATCGAAAAGATCTCAAAGATGTTGGAAAATAAATCGTTATTTCAGAGGTAATCGTACTGCGCGATGCCTGGTGTTTTGATCGTGGGGCTGAAGTAATGACTTCCGGTTCCTCACCGCTTGTTACTGTGGAAGGTTGACCAAAAGGAGGGAGCATCTGAGGTACCGGGGGCCTAGAGTCTTTGTTAAAAAGGTCAAAGCCTTTGACTGCGTCAACAACATGAGCTGGCCCATAAGTAATCTTAGACGGTGATTCTGCCCTTATGGGCTTTCTGGACGGTTGAAAATGTCGCCCAGAGGTTGATACTGCCCCAACTGAAATATTTCGAGATCGTAGACGTTGGAGATGTCGCACGTAAGTCGATGCTGAGCCGCCAATGGTGATTTCTTCTATGCTGGTCATACGGTACAGCTCAAACACGAGCACGCGCCACCCCGTCACGTCCAGGTAGTTCCCGGAAAGGTCAACCTTCTTCAAACACCGGAGCCAGGTTTGACTCTTCATTGCTTCGGGCTCAATCGCAAATATGCGGTTGTTGGTGAAAATCAAAGTGTTTAGACAGATCGATGAAATGTTTCGGGTCAGACTTTCAGTGATGATTCCATCTTGGAAGGTCAATAACGGTGACTCCCTGTACCGGGAATAACCGACAATGTTCAGTTTTAATGAAGTCAGACTTCCATTTTGAAAAGGCCAAAGGGAGCTAATTAGGTTCCGGTTGCCTATTTCCCAATCATTGATGTGGAGAGCTTCTAGTTTCGGCAGGTTGTTGAAGATGTGGCTTGGGAGATACGGCTCGTAGACTTCAGAGAACGTGGTCAGCACGAGATGTTTGACCGTGGAGTTGGACAGTCCTTCAAAGCTGTCATTACTGGACTTAAAGACGTCGATGCAGTTTAGGGTCAGGTGGGATAAGTTTCTAAATTTAGAAAACTCTGGACCCACGTACAGCTCCGACAAAGAGTCAATGGACAGCGACTCCAGGTCTGGAAGGTCATCAAAGATGTCGATAAGTTTGTTGTATTTGGGTTTTCTGATTTTGAGGTCATTGGTGTAGATGTATGTTAGGTTTTCCTTGGAGTTGGATCCGATGAACAAATGTTGTAGTTTGGGCACGTGGCTGAACATGGTTAAAGGAAATGAAGTTTGTATCGGTAGATGATTGCCCTCCAGGTTTAGCTGTGTAAGTTGTGATAGGCCTTTCAGAGCAGAGGCCTGGGGATCATTCAAATGTTCTCATTATGATAGCTATTGAAAGGTTCTCACTATGATAGCTATTGAAAGGTTCACATGCAAGTGACAGCTAGAAACAGTAGGTATTGTTGAAGAAAACCAACGTCATAAAAAATAAAGATTTGTTTCAAGCTCTGATACAAAATCAGTCGACTGATTGGGACACAGAGCTTCTGAACAACAGTGGCTAAACTAACAATACGGTAACTTTCATCTGTCAAAATGACTCTGTCATCTGTCATGATGGCTCTGTCATCTGTCATGATGGCTCTGTTATCTGTCATGTTGGGTCTGTAATCTGTCATAATAACTCTGTTATCTGTCATGATGGCTCTGTCATCTGTCATGATGGCTTTTTCATCTTTCATGATGGCTCTGTCAACTGTCATGATGGCCCTGTCCTCTGTTCTGATAAATATGTCATATGTCAAGTAACTCTGTCATCTATCACGATAACTCTGTCATCTGTCACATGCCACGATAACTCTGTCATTTGTCATGATAACTCTGTCATTTCTCATGATAACTCTATCATCTTTCATGTCTCTGTCATCTGCCTGATTGCCAATTTAAGATCTTTAAAGAACTGTTAAGATTTTACTTTTCTCTTTGTATATTCATAATAAATGATGGACTGCATTCAAGTTAATTCAATAGAATATTATAACAAGGTATGTTCAACTTGATAGACAGGACAATAAGATTCGGACGGGTCGGCTTAGAGCCTTCGTTCTTTTTCTCCTGTCTCTTAATTCAAGTTTAACACACCTTGTTATTATACTTCCCTTTTTCTAGCCACTTGGCTTTCAGTGAAATGTCCTCGCCATCCATGAAATTTAACACCACTCCTTCTCTTTGTAACGGTTCTTAAGTAATGTTATATGGTTTTACATATTAATCTGTTTTAAGATTTGGCTCGTTATATGCACACTGCGTAGCAAGGGGCTCAAGACGAGTTTCCACAGAAGCAACTGATACCACAGCTAGTGCTATTTAAATATTCAATTTAATTATACTATTAAGTTGATGTAAAAACACAAAATCAGCTATGCAGACATTTTAAACCAATTAAAAACTGTACTAAGCTACAGCACGGCTAGTGAAGAATTCAAATATTAGAAAGGCTCAAACAGTAATCCAAGCACGAACAGTGCACTATCGTTTAAGTGTTGTAGGGCTCATCTGATTCTGGTAGGTCTCGTATGTCTGACGGTCACTGTCGACCCTCATATTTATAGTGAGGGAGTCCGAACCCTCAAGACCAGAAAGTCTAGAAATTCAGTCGTCAGAATTGTATACCTCAATGGAGACATTCTGGAAATTGTAAACACACTTTTCCAGTCAAGGGTGGTTGGGGGGAGGAGTGGCTGCATGGGTCATCAGGTTCATTGGTGACATCAATAACAAAACAACAACAACAAAAGGGGGGGGGGTGGTGGCGGTAAGGGATGGATGCAAGGGCTCCACACCACGCATGGGGTGGGGGGTCTAGACACGGGGTTGTAATATCACACTCTGTCTATAATACTATAGAAACACTCTGTCTATAACACTATAGAAACACTCTGTCTATAACACTATAGAAACACTCTGTCTATAACACTATAGAAACACTCTGGCTATAACTCTATAGAAACACTCTGTCTATAACACTATAGAAACACTCTGGCTATAACACTATAGAAACACTCTGTCTATAACACTATAGAAACACTCTGTCTATAACACTATAGAAACACTCTGTCTATAACACTATAGAAACACTCTGTCTATAACACTATAGAAACACTCTGGCTATAACTCTATAGATACTCCCTGCCTACTCAATCTATAGTATACTTTGCCTATACAATCTGTCAATTCACTATAAAGATGCACTGTCTGTACACGATATATAAACTCTGACCATACCTTTTATATAACAGCGTCTATACATACACTGTCCAGTCATTCTAACTAACACTTTGTATTTACACACTCGTATTACCGTGTCCAGTAGCACGTCTCACCTGCAGATCCTGACCTCAACACCACTCACCTGTATTCTTGTGACATTCGATGACTTTATGCTCAGGTACCGCAGGTCTGTCAGATTGCTGAAGGTGTCGTTGCACAGTGTGGTGATGTTGTTGTTGTCAAGTATCAGTGTTGTCGTGTTGCCTGGAAACATCCCCTGGTCGATAAAGGTCAGCTTCTTACCACTGCAACTGATGAACGTTCCATTGTACCCACCATCTGGCTTGACCAGGCACTTCAAATCTGACAGCGTCATGTTGACCCGATCGTGTGGCCGTTCATGACATGGGTTTTCTGTGCTGACGCTTGTGGGAGTGTCGAGGCTAGGTGGAGCTAGACGCCATGAATATGACGTCATCAGATCAGGGACGAAACACACAAATAAAAAACGTAACATTGTTGTATTAGTAAAAAAAAATGATCAAATTGGAGAAGAGAGAAATCCAAAGCAATGTAATACTGGGATGACACAAATGAAAGCTGAGCCGCCAGACAACGCCAACTTCCGTACAAATGAGATTGTCTGCCCCTTACGTTGCGCTCTTCTGCGAAATCAGATGACCCTCCGCCCTGACGGTCGATCAAACCGATTCATAAATCTAGGACAAGGATTTTTCATTGATTTTGTTATTTCATTTGCTTTCTCGGCTTCAAGCATACATCAGGATGTTTGAAATTTTTTTTGTCATCCTTATGTATACATCAAGATGTTTCAGTTTCTTTTGTCCTCTTAAAGCTTTCTTTGGGATGTTTCAATTTTCTTTTTGATCTTAATCTATACATCAGGATGTTTCAATTTGTTTTTCATCCTAATCTATACAGCAGGATGTTTCAATTTGTTTTCTCATCCTAATCTATACAGCAGGATGTTTCGATTTGTTTTCTCATCCTAATCTATACAGCAGGATGTTTCGATTTGTTTTCTCATCCTAATCTATACAGCAGGTTCTTTCATCTTGTTTTGTCATCTTGATATATACATCAGGATTTTTCAATGTGAAACAGTAATTCAAAACATGAGTCTTTCAAATACTGCACAGGGGTGTAGCTCGGGCTCGGGCCGCCCCCGTGTTGGCTCAACATTGATTTCTGCCACCGCCGAACCCCCCCCCATCTTATTCGTTAAAACAAATTCCGCCCCACCATACAAAGAAAAATGTGACGCCCGGGGCGGAACGCCAGCTCAACATTGATTTCTGCCACCGCCGAACCCCCCCCATCTTATTCGTTAAAACAAATTCCGCCCCACCATACAAAGAAAAATGTGACGCCCGGGGCGGAACGCCTCTTCCCCACCCCCCCCCCCTCTGACGTAATTGATACTGCAACGTGAGAAGCTGAAATGATGATAAGACATTATGAGATAAAACCAAACATCTTAGAGTCACCAGCCAAAAGGTGTTAGTCTAATAAGTTACCTTGGTTTTATAGAGATATTTTGATACAATAATAAAACAATAATTGTACACATAAGGTAATCGTAAGTAGTAATTACTTGAAGTAATCAACAAGGTAGGAATAACAAGGTAATCAAGAGTAGTAATTACTATAAGGTAATCAAAAGCAGTAATTGCAATAAGACAATACACATTAGTAGTTACAATAATATTGAACGACAATTCAACAATTTTAAAATGTTTTCAAACTTAAAAACATAAAATTCATTGATTAATTTTCCCATCCAAACAATTTTTTCATCTTTAAATTTAAATTCATTCAATAAGAAACATGATGTAATGTTTGTGTGACCAGGAAAATGTTACTAAAGACCATATGACCAGGAAAATGTTACTAAAGGCCTTATGACCAGGAAAATGTTACTAAAGGCCTTATGACCAGGAAAATGTTACTAAAGGCCTTATGACCAGGAAAATGTTACTAAAGGCCTTATGACCAGGCAAATGTTACTAAAGACCGTATGACCAGGAAAATGTTACTAAAGGCCGTGTGACCAGGAAAATGTTACTAAAGACCGTATGACCATGAAAATGTTACTAAAGGCCGTATGACCAGGAAAATGTTACTAAAGGCCTTATGACCAGGAAAATGTTACTAAAGGCCGTATGACCAGAAAAATGTTACTAAAGGCCGTATGACCAGGAAAATGTTACTAAAGGCCGTATGACCAGGAAAATGTTACTAAAGGCCGTATGACCAGGAAAATGTTACTAAAGGACGTATGACCAGGAAAATGTTACTAAAGGCCGTATGACCAGGAAAATGTTACTAAAGGCTGTATGACCAGGAAAATGTTACTAAAGGCCGTATGACCAGGAAAATGTTACTAAAGGACGTATGACCAGGAAAATGTTACTAAAGGCCTTATGACCAGGAAAATGTTACTAAAGGCCGTATGACCAGAAAAATGTTACTAAAGGCCGTATGACCAGGAAAATGTTACTAAAGGCCGTATGACCAGGAAAATGTTACTAAAGGCCGTATGACCAGGAAAATGTTACTAAAGGACGTATGACCAGGAAAATGTTACTAAAGGCCGTATGACCAGGAAAATGTTACTAAAGGCCGTATGACCAGGAAAATGTTACTAAAGGACGTATGACCAGGAAAATGTTACTAAAGGCCGTGTGACCAGGAAAATGTTACTAAAGACCGTATGACCATAAAAATGTTACTAAAGGCCGTATGACCAGGAAAATGTTACTAAAGGCCGTATGACCAGATAATGTTACTAAAGGCCGTATGACCAGGAAAATGTTACTAAAGGCCGTATGACCAGGAAAATGTTACTAAAGGCTGTATGACCAGGAAAATGTTACTGAATTGCTGAAACATTTCAATTTGTTTCGAAAAATGTGTCCAGACAATTGCCAACAATGAGCCCCCCCTCCCGCACCAAGCCCCAACCCAACAGTCATTGCCACTAAATAATTTGAAGCCAGTCATTGATTGTCAAGGAAGTTGTATTGGCAGATGTTGTGTTCAAGTTGATATGAAACTGTTTGAGTCTG